TTTAGTGGCACTTTTTTAGTTCCCCGTCCTTTGACCTTGAATTTGACCTTGAAGTTTGACCTTGATGAAAATGGTTTTCGATGTGCGGCTAGAACTTTGCACGCGCTACATTTTGGTGCCAAAATTTTGAAAATCGGACAATATTTAGTGGCACTTTTTCAGTTCCCCGTCCTTTGACCTTGAATTTGACCTTGAAGTTTGACCTTGATGAAAATGGTTTTCGATGTGCGGCTAGAACTTTGCACGCGCTACATTTTGGTGCCAAAATTTTGAAAATCGGACAATATTTAGTGGCACTTTTTCAGTTCCCCGTCCTTTGACCTTGAATTTGACCTTGAAGTTTGACCTTGATGAAAATGGTTTTGGATGTGCGGCTAGAACTTTGCACGCGCTACATTTTGGTGCCAAAATTTTGAAAATCGGACAATATTTAGTGGCACTTTTTCAGTTCCCCGTCCTTTGACCTTGAATTTGACCTTGAAGTTTGACCTTGATGAAAATGGTTTTCGATGTGCGGCTAGAACTTTGCACGCGCTACATTTTGGTGCCAAAATTTTGAAAATCGGACAATATTTAGTGGCACTTTTTCAGTTCCCCTTCCTTTGACCTTGAATTTGACCTTGAAGTTTGACCTTGATGAAAATGGTTTTCGATGTGCGGCTAGAACTTTGCACGCGCTACATTTTGGTGCCAAAATTTTGAAAATCGGACAATATTTAGTGGCACTTTTTCAGTTCCCCGTCCTTTGACCTTGAATTTGACCTTGAAGTTTGACCTTGATGAAAATGGTTTTCGATGTGCGGCTAGAACTTTGCACGCGCTACATTTTGGTGCCAAAATTTTGAAAATCGGACAATATTTAGTGGCACTTTTTCAGTTCCCCGTCCTTTGACCTTGAATTTGACCTTGAAGGTCAAGGTTTATGGGTGAATGGGTTCGATTTTCGTGATCCTCATGGTCCAATTGACCTTGGACGAGGTTTTGGCTAAAATCGGTGCTCGTCGCTGGAAAAGTCGCTGGTGACGTAGCATTTTTAAGGTTCCCCGTCCTTTGACCTTGAATTTGACCTTGACGTTTGACCTTGATGAAAATGGTTTTCGATGTGCGGCTAGAACTTTGCACGCGCTACATTTTGGTGCCAAAATTTTGAAAATCGGACAATATTTAGTGGCACTTTTTCAGTTCCCCGTCCTTTGACCTTGAATTTGACCTTGAAGTTTGACCTTGATGAAAATGGTTTTCGATGTGCGGCTAGAACTTTGCACGCGCTACATTTTGGTGCCAAAATCTTGAAAATCGGACAATATTTAGTGGCACTTTTTCAGTTCCCCGTCCTTTGACCTTGAATTTGACCTTGAAGGTCAAGGTTTAGGGGTGAATAGGTTCGATTTTCGTGATCCTCATGGTCCAATTGACCTTGGACGAGGTTTTGGCTAAAATCGGTGCTCGTCGCTGGAAAAGTCGCTGGTGACGTAGCATTTTTAAGGTTCCCCGTCCTTTGACCTTGAATTTGACCTTGACGTTTGACCTTGATGAAAATGGTTTTCGATGTGCGGCTAGAACTTTGCACGCGCTACATTTTGGTGCCAAAATTTTGAAAATCGGACAATATTTAGTGGCACTTTTTCAGTTCCCCGTCCTTTGACCTTGAATTTGACCTTGAAGTTTGACCTTGATGAAAATGGTTTTGGATGTGCGGCTAGAACTTTGCACGCGCTACATTTTGGTGCCAAAATTTTGAAAATCGGACAATATTTAGTGGCACTTTTTCAGTTCCCCGTCCTTTGACCTTGAATTTGACCTTGAAGTTTGACCTTGATGAAAATGGTTTTGGATGTGCGGCTAGAACTTTGCACGCGCTACATTTTGGTGCCAAAATTTTGAAAATCGGACAATATTTAGTGGCACTTTTTCAGTTCCCCGTCCTTTGACCTTGAATTTGACCTTGAAGTTTGACCTTGATGAAAATGGTTTTCGATGTGCGGCTAGAACTTTGCACGCGCTACATTTTGGTGCCAAAATTTTGAAAATCGGACAATATTTAGTGGCACTTTTTCAGTTCCCCTTCCTTTGACCTTGAATTTGACCTTGAAGTTTGACCTTGATGAAAATGGTTTTGGATGTGCGGCTAGAACTTTGCACGCGCTACATTTTGGTGCCAAAATTTTGAAAATCGGACAATATTTAGTGGCACTTTTTCAGTTCCCCGTCCTTTGACCTTGAATTTGACCTTGAAGTTTGACCTTGATGAAAATGGTTTTGGATGTGCGGCTAGAACTTTGCACGCGCTACATTTTGGTCCCAAAATTTTGAAAATCGGACAATATTTAGTGGCACTTTTTCAGTTCCCCGTCCTTTGACCTTGAATTTGACCTTGAAGTTTGACCTTGATGAAAATGGTTTTCGATGTGCGGCTAGAACTTTGCACGCGCTACATTTTGGTGCCAAAATTTTGAAAATCGGACAATATTTAGTGGCACTTTTTCAGTTCCCCTTCCTTTGACCTTGAATTTGACCTTGAAGTTTGACCTTGATGAAAATGGTTTTCGATGTGCGGCTAGAACTTTGCACGCGCTACATTTTGGTGCCAAAATTTTGAAAATCGGACAATATTTAGTGGCACTTTTTTAGTTCCCCGTCCTTTGACCTTGAATTTGACCTTGAAGTTTGACCTTGATGAAAATGGTTTTCGATGTGCGGCTAGAACTTTGCACGCGCTACATTTTGGTGCCAAAATTTTGAAAATCGGACAATATTTAGTGGCACTTTTTCAGTTCCCCGTCCTTTGACCTTGAATTTGACCTTGAAGGTCAAGGTTTATGGGTGAATGGGTTCGATTTTCGTGATCCTCATGGTCCAATTGACCTTGGACGAGGTTTTGGCTAAAATCGGTGCTCGTCGCTGGAAAAGTCGCTGGCGACGTCGCCAACTTCACGGACATACGCTTTTAGCCATTGGGCCAGCAGTGTAGACCTTTCTGGTATGTAAACCATAAGCAGTGTTTCTCAGCTATTCATAACGATGCAATCATAAAACCAAAGACTGTGGTACACAAAAACTAGTGATGTATTGTAAAACGATTTAAAAAAAACTGAGATAAGACTCAATGCGTCTTGTGGCAGTTGGCAATCTTGGACCTCCTGAAAAATCTGAGCATTTGCGTCGAATGCTATCGCGCATTACTGCAGATGCCGGGTGACGGTGCCTTTGCTAACGTTTGGAAACCTTCCACGGGGTGCCTCCAACACCTGCAGGATGTACTGCCTCTGGTCCTCATCCTTGGTGAGGGTCAAATTGTACGCCTCCTTCAGAGCGACGCCACGCTTGGCGAAGTCGTTCACCACCGTGATGCCGTTGGCCTTCCCCGCTGCGGCGACATAGCGGGGGTCGTCATGCCACTCAGCAGGGTCGGTCTCGAGGAAGCCGTCGTCAATTCCAAGAGTGACGAAGAACGTCCGCGACGATGTGGTCACGAAGTCTGCGCGGGTGTTCTGCGTCAGGTCTGCGCTGAGATCAACGACGGCCCGCTTGGTCCTCCGAGCCTTCGTTCGAGGCGAGGGCCTCAACCATGGCCCGCTTTCCATGCAGTGGTAGGTAGGCTCTCGTCAAAGAACGCCAACGGGACTAGGCACTCACTCAGATACCACAAGTGACGTCGGGCGAAGCCGCTGAGGAGTGTCTTTGCGAGGGACTTGTCCTTGTACCAGGCCAACGTCTTCAGAAGGGAGAGGTCGTTCTTAGGGGGGGGGGAGTTTCGTCAGAAGAGAGAGGTCGTTCTTGGTCGTTGATTCGTCAAGTTTGCCGTGTCGGTCTACATTCCCGCGTGGTACACCGCACCAAGCCCAACATCGGCCCCTAAAAACGACCTCTCCCTTCTGAAGACGTTGGCCAGGTACGAGGACAAGTCCCTCGCCAAGACGCTCCTCAGCGGCTTCGCCCGTCACTTGTGGTGTCTGAGTGACGGCCTCGTCCCGTTGGCGTTCTTTGACGAGAGCCTACCACTGCATGGAAAGTGGGCCATTGTTGAGGCCCTCGCCTCGAACGAGGGCTCTTAGGACTTTTACCAAGCGGGCCGTCGTTGATCTCAGCGCAAACCTGACGCAGAAGACCCTCGCAAACTTCGTGACCACATCGTCGCGGACGTTCTTCGTCACTCTTGGAATTGACGACGGCTTCCTCGAGCCCGACCCTGCCGAGTGGCGTGACGACCCCCGCTATGTCGCCGCAGCGGGGAAGGTCAACGGCATCACGGTGGTGAACGACTTCGCCGAGCGTGGCGTCGCTCTGATGGAGGCGTACAATTTGACCCTCACCAAGGATGAGGACCAGAGGCAGTACAACCTGCAGGCGGTGGAGGCACACCATGGAAAGTTTCCGAACGTTAATAATGGCACCGTCACCCGGAATCTGCAGTAATGAGCGATAGCATTCGACGCAGATGCTCAGACTCGTCAGGACTCAGGAGGTCCAAGTTTGCTAACTGCCATAAGACGCATTGAGTCTTATCTCAGTTTTTTATCGTTTTACAATACATCACTAGTTTTCGTGTACCACAGTCTTTTGTTTTATGATGCATCGTTCTGAATAGCTGAGAAACACTGCTTACGGTTTACATACCAGAAAGGTCTACACTGCTGGCCCAATGGCTAAAAGCGTACACATTCAAGTTCGAGGAGGCACGGCTAAATATAATCCGATCCGGATGAAACTTTGCATGTGATGTTTTTATGCTATATGGAGCCATAAAATGAACTGCCTTTTTGCTTTTTAAAAAAATCAGAAAATAACTGTCACCCTACTCATAGGCTTTCATTTTATTTGGCCCTATTCGACTCTTTCGTGCAGCCAAAAGCATGATTATTTCTGGAATATCGTTTACCGTTTTCTTGGGTGTTTCTGGAAGTGAAGCTACAAATGGCATCGTGCCTATGTTCGCGTCTTTTCATTGAACCGATCTCCCAGCTCAGATAGGTACCTACATTCCAGATGTCATTGTTCAACGTTCAACGACAAAGTCCTGGTGCCTTGCTCATGCAACGACAGGTGCGCATATAAAGAATAAAAACTAGAAATAAAACAACCGTGCTGGCCTGAACGGCTCGAGACTGTGCTGGAAACTACAAAATCTCACTGATGTGTGCCGACGTGTGTGACTCACGCGCATCGGTCTGCGAGACAGCGGACCGCACTGCTTCTGCGACCGGTCCCGGATGCGCTCCAGAAGCTCGTGGTCCCTCCTGCGCAGCTCGGCGTTAATTCGCAGCCTCTCCGCCTGGCGCTGCTGAGGAGTAGGCTTCTCTCGCACTACATGAATCTCCGGCATTGTGAGCTCGGGCATCGTCAGCGAACTGCGGATACTGCCTGCCCTCGGTTTGGACTCGACCGCAGTCAGGTTGTCGTCACTCAGTGTACGGTGGAGCGGCGCATCTGCTTCGTCGACGGGTTCACTTACCGCTGCGGGAGGAGGTGCCGAGGAGCGAGCAGGTGCCGATTTCTTGATCGGCTCCAGCGGGTAGCTCTTGTCCCAGCCAATGGGAGACGTCTGGTGCGCGGAGCCAGCGGATGCGGCAGTTCCTGCGCGCCGGGACTGGAACATGGCGCGCACCTTTCCGCCGCTACCGGCCGTCGATGAGGCGGCCGAGCCCATCGGAGCAGCCCGGCCTCCGGTAGACACGGTGGCCGCAGTGCTGCCGTTGGTGACCCGACCCCTGGCGGCGACCGGCTGCCGCGACGGTGGCGCCGCCGCGCGGGGGGCAGGCTCAGCTGTAGTTCTCTCGGTCACCGCGGCGGGGCGGGCGGGCTCGGCCGGCGCGGCGCGCACCGGAGCCAGCTCGGCCAGTCTCTGCTGTCGCTCAGCAGCGGAGCGCTGCTGGAACTGAGACTGAAACCAGAGGCGCTGTGTTAATAAAAAATCACAAAATAATGGCGATGGCATAGCTGATTTAGGCTGAATTGGCGTCACCAGTGGACAGTGGTGCTGGTCAGTGGTCAGAGGTTGGTTGCTGAGGTAACGCAGTTTGTTTCATCAACTACTCAAGTGGGATCGATTTGTCAGTCCTAATGACAGGCATTAGGAAGCCTTCCTTTTGATACAAGGCAGTTGCGTGTTCCATATAAAAGGCTCTCGGAACTATGATTTGTTTTCCGATGTTGGCAGGCAGGCGCACACAATCGGATGGCCAAACACGACACCTCGGCAAATACGCTGAGCCAACAGAGGCTGAAATTGGTCACCTCACGTCAGGGGGATCGGGGTGATTTCGTCCTAACTTCAAGGAACTACGCCGCACTTATTTCAGGTTCAACGCAAAACTTCGGTCGGACCTGTCTTTTCATGTAAAGTGGTAAGCAAAAGCTCTAATCCTCGGCCACCGTTCCGTGCTTCTATCCTCAGGATACAGAAATCCTTCTCCTCCACGCCGCAACCCCCCTCCGGGCTGGACAGGCAACTTTATCTCATGCGGACTGCTCCCTTGGAGCGGCACCGCTGCTCCTGAGGGAGCGCACCCCGTAGCCGGGTGCAGTGAGTGCCTTGTGGCTGGGTGGCCTGTCCTCTGGACGGGCTCAGCCCCGGCGACTCACTAGGGTGCCTGCCCAGACCAATGTCTCCCCCTTTATCCTATCATCCTCCCGGCTCTGAAATGGTCTTGCCAGACCGAAAGGGCCTAACCCAACAAAACAAACAAACAATCCTCGGCTTCGATCAGCCACGTCTATCACGGCATTCGTTTTTCAGGGCTGTTTTTAGCCACTGCCCCTTGCTTCAATCCCAGTCGAGCCTGTGTTAATCACGAAGGCACGCTCCCCGTTACGCAAACGTGTTTTTCAACATTTTCACACGTGCCGAGCCGCAGGGTGATTGGATGCGATCATGTTGACGAGAGTACCGCCGCAGGAGTTCCGAGTATGTAGACTGTAGAGAGTGAGTGGGTCAAGGAGCAGACTAGGTTACACAGGATCCGTTCCGAGAGACCGTGTCAGCGGGTAATGTGGAATGCACTGTAGGCTGTTCCGCTCAGTCCCGACCTCGGCAGAAACCGCCCCACACAGGTAGGACGAATGATGTAGGAGGTAGGACGTGGCGCGGGGGTGGATGTTGACTGAGGTGGGTCCACGTCCCCTCCACTCCGTCTGTTCGACATAGCGTGACCGGTAATTACGCCACGGCAGCGCCCTCGAGCTGCCCCCAGCCAGCCCGTCCGGTCGATGCTGCTCAGTTGAGTCCGGCCGGATGGCCCCTCACGCTGCCTGGCACCGTCCCGCGGACGTTATGGCCGTCCGACACGCTGGTTTACACCACCTGCCCCCCCCCCCTCTCCCCCCCCCCCCAGTCGTCCCGTCTGTCCAGTGAAATGCTCCCCAACGACCAATGCCTGCGAGCGAAGGGTACGTAATGGCGCCAGTGCGTCGTTGTGACTCGCTCGGGAGAGTCGTGCCTGCGCGAATGCAAATACCTGCTGAATAGGCGAACGGGTGTGCCTGGTCAGAGAGAATCTGTCTTGGGCCAAGGTTGCGATTCCCGAAGTCAAATGTCACGCCATGCTGATTGGTCCGATGGCGTTAATATTTGATGGCGGCCTTGACCATTATGTTAGGGGGAGAGCAGGCTAACTGTCGTCCCTCAATGAACGGCGCGCTAAGCTGGCGTAGTACCTAATTAGTCAGAGAATGGTGATGCATCGCAGCTTTTTGTCACTGGAACACGCTTGAGGCCGCAAGGTCGGGGTCACGATGGTGGGCCTTGTTAGTCTGTGGTCCGTGAAGTCCGAGATGAGACTAGTTGAACATAAAACGGTCTGTGTCGCTACATTTGCGTAACGGGTAAAATGAAATCTGTATCTCGTTTCCCACGCTAATTACGACCTTGCCACAGTGTTATCCATTTGATCATCTTTGTACGTACCTAGTACCTACTCAGTACTCATCTACCCATATTGGCGAAGAAAGTGGTGAAAGGTGAGATCTATTCTTATTCTTTGGGTGGCAAACATTTATGATTCCAATTATCGAACAGGATACGACGCTGCCAACGTCCCTTCTTTCGCCATTTAGCGTGGCAGTGAACATGTGACACTGCAACGTCTCAGCCTATTGCACCTTCTCGGTTCTGAGTCATTTGTGCGTCATTCTCACTCTCCCAACTCCCGCTCCATGTCTCTCTCTCTCTCTCTCTCTCTCTCTCTCTCTCTCTCTCTCTCTCTCTCTCTCTCTCTCTCTCTCTCTCTCTCTCTATCTCTATCTCTATCTCCCTTTCTCCGTCCCTCCCTCCTCCTCCCTCCAATGCCCCTCTGTGACGTCATCCGTCACGCCCGGCTAACCCGTCAGTACCCCTTATGACGTCACACCTCCACACCTCCCCTCATCACGCCGCACCTGCGGACCGTGCCACTGACCTGCATGGCCGCCAGCCGGCTGGTGCCGCGTGCCTTGGAGACCGGCTGGGGGATGCCGCTGGCCCGCGGCTGGGTGACCGCAGCCATGGCGACCTGCGAGGACAAACAGACAGTGCGTGAGCTCAATATAGCCTGATGATCAGAGCGTGGGTTAGAATCGCCCTGGTGAACAGATTGCGTAGGTTAAATTGTTCTTATATGCTCAGGGTTAGATTCGGCTGAATAGGGAATGTGTGAGACACTTCGTCAACTGCATGGAAGAACGACAGTGCAATCCGCTGCGGCTGTAAAAGTGTGACAGCGCGGAGAAAACGTCCAATTTAGAACGTCGTTGCGTGGTGGAATGCAATCTAGGGCGTTTCTAAGCGACGGTCTGTAACTATGTTGGTAACGACTGACGACATACCGGGAGACGTTGGCAGTTACTACCGCTGTGGTCTGGGTGCAGGTTGACATGCAGTCATGTGCGCATAACGGGCGCAGGACGAATGAAGATTGTGTATGACATGGGCATTGGGCATGGTGCATGGCAGCTATACAGTGAATGTATACAGTGAATGTATACTATACAGGCTATGTCACAATGGGTGTTCAATAGGTGCGGAATGGTGCGTGGTGGGTGTGCCATGGGTGTCTTGTGGTTGTCTGGGTGCACCGTGGCTATGCGACGGGTGCGTCATGGAAACAGCGTAGACGGGTGCTCTGTGGGCACGGGCACAGCGCTGTAACCGTCACAGTCGGCCGGCCGGTCCCAGGGTCGGTCGGCCGACGCCGCTCCGCCGGCGGACGGCGCTCGAGCCCCTCGAGCCGACCGACAATTATTGTCTGCACCACCCCCGGCGGCGGCCCACGCGACGGTGCACAGCAGCGGCGTTGGCAGCCCCAGGCCCACGGCGGTGGCCGCATAGTAGACGGCAGCGACCGGCGGCGGCGGCGGCGGTCAGTGGCGGTCCGGTGTGCTCTGGGCGCTGGTGGCACTGGCTGTTCACGATGATGGAAAAGTGTATGTGGGTGACGGTAGCGAACCTGACTAGCCAACGCTGCGGTGGAAGAATGCAGACGGCCGCACTTCGGTAGCGAACATTGCTAGTCAGCGCTGCAGTGGAAGATTGCATACGGCGGCAGTCCTGTTAGCGGACATTACTAGCCAGCGCTGCGGTGGTAGTAATGTCCGCTAACATTACTACCACCGGACACGAATACAATCGTGTCCGGACAAAATTTCGTCTGACATTTTTTCGTCGGACAGTTTTTTGTCCGCAGATTTTCGTCCGACTTTTATTCGTCTCGCATTTTTTCGTCTGTACATTTTTTCGTCTGTTCATTTTTTCGTCTACATTTTTTCGTCCGGACATTTTTTCGTTCGTATATTTTTTCGTCTGTACATATTTTCGTCCGGACATATTTTCGTTCAATAAATTTTACGTCTGTTCACCCAAGGTTGAGTGAAAACATACTACAATGCTATTCAACTGTGGAGGCAAATGACGTCATAATAATACTCGGGGCGAAGCATTGCAGTGCCGAAGGCATTGCCTTAGGAGAGATTACAGGCAATGGTAAGTCAAATATTTTTAGGTTAAGTGGTTGTGTATCTGGCTTCAGGCCGAAGGCCTGAAGCCTGATGCATAACCACTTAACCTAAAAATATTTGACTTACCATTGCTTGCAATCTATTCATGCAAGTAACTTTTTCCTTATCCCCTGGTAGGCAAACATCAGTAGGTAAGGTTAGGTAAGTTTAGGTTAGGTTAGGTTAGGTTAGGTTAGGTTAGGTTAAAGGTTAGTTTAGGTTAGGTTAGGTTAGGTTAAGGGTTACGCTAAAATTGTAGACGAAAAAATGTCCGGACGAAAAAACGCACAGACGAAAAAATATACGAACGAAAAAATGTCCGGACGAAAAAATGTACAGACGAAAAAATGCACAGACGAAAAAATGTACAGACGAAAAAATGCGAGACGAAAAAAAGTCGGACGAAAATCTGCGGACGAAAAATTGTCCGACGAAAATCTGCTGGACGAAAAACCGTCATGGAATCAATACAATTCATAGTGCGGCGGCAGTCCTGTACCGGTAGCGGACATTACCAGCCCGCCCGGCGCAGCGCAGCGGTACGGCGCTGACCGGCGCGGGTCCGCGGCTCGCGGAACGGTCGCTGAACCGTTGTGCCGCCACTGCCGCCACTATCATACACCACTATCAGCCAGTCCAGTCCAGGGGTCAGCAGGAGACATGCACTGTGGCGCCGCCCGCTGCAGTCGCGGTGAGGCGACGGCTCGGTACCATGCTCCTTCGTGAACTAACGGGTAACTTTTCAGTTCTGATGCCGTAGCCACGTCTCGCACAAAATCGAAATGGCACTGTCGACGCGACTAGCGCACATGACGTGTTCATCTCCCGATTCAGGCTTAGCTCTGGTCTCAGCTTAGCTCTTTCATCCGTGACCAACAGCCTACCACGCAAGCATTTCACAAGGTCTAGTGCCTACTCCCAAGTTTCCAACTCTTTTACCTTCCGCCTTGATTTCGATTGATCACAAGCCCAACTGGCCTCGGAAGCCGATTGTAACCTATACCAATACCACAGTCGAACTCAGTCGTGCTGCTGTGTCACCGAGCTGTTTGTTCCGCCGTCCCGGAACGAAACTGACTGTGCATGTTCCGCCAGAGACAGTGACGGTCGGGAGAAGGTGAAGTGTCCGGAAGACGAGCCGAGAAGGTGCCGGAAGAGCGATCAGTGATCATGATTGACTAGTTTTAGGAACGAAAGTTTCTTCAGTTCTTCAGGTGGGAGGGAGGAATAGGAAGAGAGAGAAAGAGAGAGAGAGAGAGAGAGAGAGAGAGAGAGAGAGAGAGAGAGAAAGAGAGAGAGAGAGAGAGAGAGAGAGAGAGAGAGAGTGACCTCGTAGAATAAAGAGCAGGCCTTGGCAATGCCTCACAATCGGGTAGCTTTCCGCGTTCACCTCTGACAGCACACACGCAGACAGACAGCTCGCTTGTCGAGGTCGGGGTTCCCCGGGGGCGACGTGGGCCAACCGGAAGGACCTGTGACGTCATCAGGCGTGACCTCAGCCTCACGGACGGAGCGGGCCGGCCGCCAGCCACCGCCGAATAACAACAAAGACCGAGCAGGGGACACCGGTGAGTGGAGACGGTGATTCAAAGGCGTTCCCTGCGTGCGGGTGAAGGGGGAGGGCGGATGGACTGGTTCTCGTCAGGGGGAGTGTAGAAAGGTGTGATAACATTCCGCTGACGGTGTGAGGCCGCGGGCAGAGTCCACTGGCCCCGTGGCCCAGAAAGTCGGCTGCAGTGCCGGCGATGGTTTGACCCGGGGCGTGTGGAGAATGGAGATTATTGCGGTCCATGCAGACGTGCGGAGAATGCGGCACAGAGTGAATGCAGTGCAGCGGGGTAGGGTAGGGTCCGGGTGCTGATAAAGAACCGTTAGGCAGGGGCGACGGTCTGTGTTTCACGTCGCTGTGGGATACGGGGTAGGTAGCGAACAGGCGTGCGCCCGCATCAACAGCCTCCGTGCTGTTCGTATTGTGCTAGTAAACGCTTTGACAGAATAACCGATGGATGTTGGACTTATGTATCTTCCAGCCATAGGTTTTGCAATCGGCGGTCTGGCGATCGTATACTGGCGGCCGTTCCCAACGCACCAACACCATTGAATGGCTTGACAACCGGAGCGCTGTATCAACACTTCAACAGTCCCCATGCACTAGCAACCAAAGGCCTCCCACAAAACTGACAACGCTTACCTAGGGGCTCATGAAATTGACGAGGCAAATATCGCACCACCTTCACAGCTCACTCTTCAATCGATCGGTGCTCGCTTTGTCACTTCATTTCATTCATTGTCATTTCATGACCAATAACTGACACGTCATTCTTCATTCAGTCGACTGCCCAAACTTCCCCGTCCAGCCAGTGACCAGTCGCGTCGGTTCGTTCGCCGGACTCCCGCCGTTTCGTGCCACGCTGACAGTCGTGAGAACCGCCGTCAGTCTGAGCCCTGTGAATATGGACAGTCTAATGACCAGCAGCCGCGCAGCCGAGGTCGATGACGGCAGGTTTCGGCCGGCTCAGACAGTCACCTGAGAGGCTTCCTTTTTTATTTGTCTCTGTCAACCGCAACCGATAGGAATCAGCTGTGTTTTTTCGTCTTCGTCGACACGCCCTTCCAGCCTTCACTAGTGCTGTCAATCGGAACTTGAATCTTCGGAATTCCGATTTTGTCCAATGTCCAATTCGGAATTCGGTTGGACAATGGCAGCAGGCTTTGGACAACTTTGGACAATCGCTTGCTACACCTCAACATTTTTAAAAAGTAGTCGTGTTTAACATTGATTGGCTATTAGAAAGCTCAGCTTTCGATATAATTAAGTATTAACACTTTTGAGATGTAACGGTACATGAAAAGCAAATTAAATAACAGTGTTGAGTGTAAACTATTGCGTAGGTGTCGGACATCTTTGGACAAATGGCTGGCTTGGACATTTTTGGACGGACAATCGACGCAAGCATTGGACATTGGATGGACTTTGGACATACGTTTTCTGAAATTGACACCACTAGCCTTCACCCTCGGCTGTCGGCGTCCCGTCGCGCGTCCTCTCGGGTGATCCGACAGCGCCGACAGCGCCCATCTAGGGCGGAAGCCGCACTAGGTGACTCACCGCCGTCAGTGCAGCCGCTGCAAACGGCGCCCGCCTGCAACATTGCAGCAGTGCAGCGGAGGCGCGCCGGCCGGCCACGTGACCCGAGGCGCTCGCTCAGTGGGAGTCACGTGACCCACACAGGCGCGTCCGGTGGCGGTCATGTGCTCGGCGGAGGTGTGGACCACCGTGGCACGTGACCCCGCCGACCGGACAGATGGGCCGCGGCGCCGGCACGGAATGTTGCCTCCGAGGACCCGAGGTGGATTGTGTTTGGGTCAGACGAGCTGAGACATGGGCTCAGCATTGACGGGCCGAGATTGTCAAATGTCGGTATCGACTAAAGTCGAGACGTGACCTTTGGTTTTGGAATGTTGGTATGAAGTTTATGCGTTACGTAGGCAGACAATTCGAGTTTATCCTTGCGCCGAGTTTAGAGAAGACGCGTTTC